GGCAGGCATGACTGGAGTGCTGGCCAGACGTCCAACACAGGGTACTGCTCTAGGCTTGGGAGTTTGCAACTCAGGAAACCAGCATGGCTACTCATAAGGGTCAGAATATGGGCAAGTCAGAGAGCAAGCTCAAATCTAGTCCATATGTCCATAAGTGAGCATGTAAGTAAAAATTTGTGACCAAGCCAGGGGATCAGGTGTAAGACAGGGAGATGGACTCAGCATAGGCTCAAGGGCAGGGTCAGGGAAGCTGGATTTCAGAAAATTATGAAGAAGAGGCTGTTGTGATGGTGGCTTTCTAAAATTGATTGCCCACAGAGTTGCATGTATTAGGTTGGCCTAGTTTAGAAGCACAAAGTAGGGGGTTGGTAATATGCAAAATACTGGAGAGGTTGAAAACTTACTTAGGTAGTGTTGGATTACGTGACTCCCCAGTGGCTCTTTAGTACCTGGAGTTAGAGATAAGTCAGATGTGGCCCCTGCCTGTGTTCACCATCTGCACAAAGAGACAGAAATGTAAATAAAAATATTACAACACTCACAGGATTGCTGGGATGTAATAGTCTCATTCTACCAAGAAGGTAGTAATAATGGCTGACATTTATTGAAAACTCACTGTATACCACCAGGTACTATGTTGATTGCTTTACCTATATTTCCTACTGTATACCACCAGGTACTATGTTGATTGCTTTACCACATTAAATTCTTACAACCATATGAGGCAGTGCTATTATTTCTATTTTATAGATTAAGCAAATGGAGGGTAAAAGAATTTAAACAATAACCACCCAATGTTGCACAGCTAATTAGTGGTGAAGTCTAACTCTGACTTAGACCTTGACCTCTACATTAGTCTGTTCTGGGAGACACATTTTAAGATGGATGTTGGGAAATATGGAACTTGACAGGAGTGTTAAGAATGGTGTGGAGATGGGAATCCACAATCTATGAACACGTGTCTCCTCAACCCCTTCCAATGAGTCTGCTGAGACTGAACATAAAGGGCTAGAGGGGGAAGTACACACTCTGGCTTTAGGTGTGAATGATGAATGGGTGTGGCAGACAGTTTCATTTGGTATAGAAGGAAAAGAGATTCATCTGCAGATTCCCAAACCACTTACTTGGCTCTGACCTCAGCAGAATGTCGGAGTAACTGATAGATCTCGGGAAGTTCTGCTAGTGAACAACAACTACAAAGATAAGAGCATCTAAGTCATGTTGATTTAGGAGAAGACATTTAATAGAACTCTCCACATTTGAAGAGTTGTCATATGCAAGAGAAAAAATAAATTTGTCTCTTGTGACTCTAATGAATGCAGCTGAGACCAATGATTAGATATGATGGGAGGCAGATTGCAACTCAGTAAAAAATTATTTTTCAACAACTAAAGCTAACAAATACAGAAGCTTGTGGGAGTGTCAGTTCTTCATCACTAGAGGTATTCACATAGAGACTGTGTCACCTTCTGTTGAGAGGGGTAGTTTTCAAATTTTAGAATTCATAAGAATAATTTCTGGGCATGGCAGCCAGATTCTGATTCAGGAGGTCCTCGTAGGCATCAAGAATGTCTCCTTTTAATAAGCCAACTAGAGGATTCTGATGTGGGTGAGAAATAACAATCTGCAGATTGTAGAAGAGATATCTATTTTAAAAGGAGAAGCTAGATTCCATGATGAAGTTTCCATTCAGCACTCTGTCCAGACCATGTTGATCTATTTCTTCCCAGAGTTCCTGTTGTTTGTATAGTCTTTATCACATAATTTAATATTTGATTACATTTTGTCTCCCTCTTCTAATCGTTTCCCTCATCCCACAAATATTTGCTGATAATTTACCATATGCTGAGCACCATTCTAGGCACTGGGGAGACGTTACAGGGCCAAGCAGACAAGGCAGCCTGACCTTATGCAGCTGATAATCCAGTGAAGGGAGATTTGTAAAACCCCAAATATATCAGGTATTTTATAAATACTTTCCTCCATACAACCAGATGCAAACTCTTTTGGGAAGAACCCTGTCTTAGTATTTTATGTAGTGTCTAGAACAATGCTCTGCAATAACAGGTACTCAAAAGTATATTTTAAAGCAACGATGGAACAGTAAAATGAGAATACACTTGGAGAAAAACAGCAAAACTTTATATTTTCTGCCATAAATCAGGCTAATCTCAATGGTTTAACTGAGGATTTCTTTGTGCTTTAGGATGGAGAATTTTTGTAAGCCAAAGGACTTTTTTCTACATTAATAGAAAATGTATCCAGAACAAGTAACACAAGCTTCTTGAGTTTTGCAGGTCACAGGCTTATAGCAATAGTGAAAAACTGAAAGACATCCAGAATACAGATGATGAGGGTTCTTAGCACACCATGGTATAAGACAGTGGCCAACAAACTATTTTTTAAAGGGCCAGGTTATTCAATATTTGGGGGCTGTACGCTCTCTCTCACAACTAGTCAATTCTGCCATTGTAGTATAAAAGCAGCTTAGAAAATATGTAATTGAATGGACTTGTTCTAATAAAACTTTATTTACAAAAACAGGTGAAAGGCTGGATACAGCTCTTAGATCACAGTTTGCAGACTGCTATAAGATAAGTAGTTCAAAGAACTGAGGTGTTTAGCTGAGTGTATTAGTCCATTCTCACAATGCTATAAAGAAATACTTGAAACTGTGTAACTTATAAAGAAAATCAATTTAATTGGCTCATGGTGCTGCAGGCTGTGTGGGGAAGCATAGCAGCATCAGCTTCTGGGAAGGTCTCAGGGAACTTAACAATCATGGTGGAACGCAGAGAAGGAGCCAGGCACTTCACATGGCCGGAGCAGAAGAGAGATGCAGGGAGGTGCCACACACTTATAAACCACCAGATCTCATGAGAACTCTACAACACCAAAGGGGTAATCTGCCCCCATGATCCAGTCACCTTCTACCAGGCCCCAACTCCAACACTGGAGATTACAATTTGACATGAGACTTGGGTGAGGACATAAATTCAAACCATATCTCTTGAAGAAGACAGAAAGAGAATATCATTACTATTTTTCGATATTTGAATCACTTCCCTGCAGAAGAAGGATTTGACCTATACTAGAAAAAACAGAGGATATATGTCTAATATTTTAATAGAATTCTCCAGATGGTTATGAGTTTAATGAGTTTACCAACACTGGAGGTGTTCAAGCAAATATTGAATGCCCAATTCTTGAGACTGTTCCAGAGCAGGCAAGGGAGTCTGGTGAACAATTTGACTAAATGTCCTTTAAGGTCCTTTTCAACCATGGGATGCTGTCATGCATGTGAAGTTTAGTGAGCAGAGCAGGGCCTAACACATGCTGAGATTGACATAGAGACACAGGTAAATGATACCCCAGCAATTTCACATGTTAAAATTTATCTATGGTAAATGAATGACTGAGTGAAAAGCAAGCTCTACTAAATGTTAGGTACCCATATTAATAAGCAGGTTAAAAATAGCCAGATTAAAAACAGTTAACATCAGGTAAATATCATTTTTTTTTCAGTTAGCTTGATTTATAGCCTTTTAAGATTATATCTGGGTTAAATGGATTGGTCATTCAAAAACTAAGTGGATGTCTCTCAATCACATAGATTAAAAAGAGAGGGAAGACTCCATCCTACCTTTTAGAATTTAAAAAGTTTTAATTTTTTATCTTTTGGACTTCTTGTAAAATTTCTTTGTGTGCCTTATGATGTTTTGCATTTATGAAGTTTTAAATGCTAAAACAGCACAAATTCATCCTCACAAATGGATGTGTAGATCTATAAAATTAATAATCAATGATTTATTGGGAGCCTATTGCTCCACTGAAGAAACTGAGAACCAGACAGTGCCTGAAGGATGAACATGACAAGGAGCTAAATGGTTTAAAATTTGTGGCTATCCTTAATATGCTACCCATGTGTGCCAATGAGGCAAATCTTCAGCCAGCTTGAGCCTGGTCTCCACCTCCCAGTGGAGGGTCAGAAGGGGTGAGTGATTCCAATCAATATCCAGTTGTTAGAGTAACAGCCATGTCGGTTCTGGATGGCTGACTGGATGAAAACATGTTTGTTCTACTTAATGCGACAGTGTCTTGTCAAATTAACAGCCATGGTGGCAGGAACAAGCTTGCTTAATGGGTTAGAGTCAGTTCCACAGAGAATCTATCATCAACATGCAACTGAGAGGAATCCCAAACCTCATTACCAGGGTTTATTTGTAGATAATAACTGAAGGTATGCCATGTACTTACAGCAGGATTTGTTTGGTTTTTTGGCAACTCAGTTTGATGGTCTTTATCAAATGTTGCCCTTTTAACTCCCCAAAACTCTGTATGATCATGCTTAGTCTGTGTTTAAACACACTAAGTAAAGTGCAATATTTAAGCAGCTATGTTAAGATGTTTTAGCAAGATAGAATGATTATTTGAAATAACCACGTATTCGACGTGCAGGGCAGTGGGGAAAAGGAACTATTCCAGTGAGTGCTTTAATCCTGCACTTCTTGGTGAATATTTAAATACACTTTTCCTCCCTAGAGGTGAGCTGTTGTCCCAAAGCCGGAATCATAAACTGCCTGCCAGATTTAACTCACAGTTAAATTGCATTTGGTCCATATAGTTGTGTTTTAAAATTGAAATGCTTGCTATCACTTAGAAAAAAAGAAAATTTCACATGCAGTTCTAGGTGTTTCCTTTCAATGAAAAATTCAGAGAAGTCAGCAGCATGGGCCAGCTTTTCGCAGGGCAGTAGTTTTCTGGAACTGTGTGTTAGTCTGTCTTCTCTAGATAGGTTGAGTGTTCTCCATGGTGTCTACTGTGCCTGCCTTATTCATTTATGTGACCTAACCAGCCCCTTGAAACATTGAAATTTTCCATCTGTGATTAATAGACTAAATCTTGATTTTCTAATCATACTCATATATGAAAAATGCAATATTATGGCTTTACCATGTACAGATATTGTTAAGGCACTGTTTGCTTCTTTCTTCTTCTAGTCCTCCAGTCCTCTACCAGTGCCTCCCAGTGGCCTAAACCAGCAGGAGCCATATGAAAAAGAAGTCTGGAAGATGCTAGTCCTTCACAGGAGGATACGAGAATGGCAACGAGAAGATCTGAGGACTACGAGATTTAGGACGAACAAATCTAGGAGCCAGAAGATATACCTGCTAGTAGACGCTATGATCTTAAAAAAGTCTTGAACCAATGTGACCTTCAGAATTTTTCATCTGTAAAATGAAACATTGGGCTAGACGGTCCCTGAAACTTCTTAAAGTCCATGGTTCTATGGTGGAAGGGGTTGGTACAGCTTTGATTTCATTGTCTGTTTATACCTGGCTGAGTTCTCTTGTGACATGTGACTGTCCTTCTTAAGAAACTGAAAGACAACCAAGTAGCTGATTATTGAGATACCGAAATGTTTTAGGGAATGCAGAGAATACAGCCTACCTGATATAAAGTCTGACAGCAACAACAAAAATCTCTCTGGGCAACTGTATTTAATAATTAAAACAAAAGGTTTGGAGGAAATATTCAAATTGCCACTTTAACAGGAGAGTAATCTGTGGTGAGAATGCTTCAACAGTGATATGGACTGGCATTAGAGCTAAAGAATCCCAGCCTGATTTGATAGTGACTCTAGCTGTTTTATGTTCCTCAGGAATCCCAGGATGTCTTTCAAACAAACAAACAAAACAAACAACAACAATGACATATTATCTTCATCACTTATCAGAGATGATTTTCCCAGAATTGTTGGCTCAAATTTTAGAAGAAGTTCTAGAAACTGATTCAACCTAAAATTAAAACCTGCTAGCTCTTCATGTAAATCATGGAATCATTTGTTTGCTACTGAACCGCATGTTGACATTGAAGTACAGATGTTTGATGTTGAATTCATTCCTCTTTGTATAACAGCAACTACATGATAAACCAGGGAAAAAAATGGCAGCATCTTTTATATCTTCATTTGTTTGAAACAGATAAAAATATTTCATTTTCCTTATTCGATGTCAAATTACCCAATAATGACAAAATCTAAACTTACATTTTCAAGGGATTTTTAAAGTGTATTAAATTTGTAAAGGTAAAGCAATACTTTAAAGTAAATACACAGTTTGAAATATATCAGTTATGGAGCCAACTGAGATGTCAACAATTTAGTAGTTTTTATCTCCGAAAATAGAGAATATTCAGAAGCAGATCCAGAAAGTTTCATTTTAACCTCAGTTGGAACCAGGAAGAGGAACTGAGGTTGCTTACTATCAGATCATAATACAGTGGACACTGACATTCTTCCACACATTAAGTCATTTGTACTTTCTCTTTGACAAATTTAAAATCTCAGAAGTTAATTGTGGGAGCTAGTCCTGATTCACCAAGATCAACTAGCAGTTGCCGGAACATTTTCTTTCAAAAGCTTGAAAATGAATCAAGTTTACTTGTTAAGATGTCCAGCAAATAGCAAGATAAACATGGTAATATACTCAGTTTTAAATATATAAGTTTATATCAATAATATATTTAAAATAGCATACTTTAAGGTTACTAATGAATATGTGAAGCAAAACGAAAAATGTTAGTTTGCAAGAGAAACTGATTTTATTTGATGACTTATTTTACTTCAGTAAAATATTGGTTAAGCAGAATAATTGAAAAAAGAAATATCTGAGTAAGCAAAACTTTGATTTGGCTAGAAAATAAAGTAGATTTTTCTTGCACTTGTAGCCTCACTCTTGAGAATTTTAAGAAATGATCCTCCTTGTTTAAATTCAATTGGCCTTTAATGGGCACATAACACATGCTGGGCATTACAGTGGGAGGCTGAAAAGAATACCATAAATAAATAATTCCCCTGGCTCTCAAGGAATTCTTAGACTCAATAAATAGAGTACATTGAACACAAGTGAATTATATATATATATATATATAAAATATATGTGTGTGTGTGTATATGTATATATATTTCTAGAATCCTTCAGACTTAAATTCAGTTTCAGAAAAAAAAAAAAAAAAAACTCATTTTGAGTTTCGATTTCCATTGCCTTAGCCTGTAGATGGAAGTGGAGAAGAGCAGAGGAAGGATCACTGGCTTTAGAAGAAGTCTTGAGGATGAAACGAAATAATGTGTGTGAATGCTCTTGGCATAATATATGCTACTTTGCTAATATCAACAGCATTAATATTTATTTATTTATTTATTTATTTATTTATTTATTGTATCAGTCACACGGCAGACATTATTATGTTGACTGTCTCTCTGATAAGAGCTTGCAGATGGGAAGGAAGTTGGATGTCACAGACTTTTTCTTGATTAATCAACCAAACATGCATTGTGTATCTATCAGAGTAAGACTGAACTACATAGGTTGAGTCATACAAACCAGGTTGCTCTGCGAACACATAGGAAGGACATCAAAACCAAATGTTGGGTGCCAGATACTGATTCCTTAAGGAAACCAATATTTGAAGAATGAGGTGAATGTACCATGTGAATGTGGGTACGTTTTTAGACAGTTGTTTGCAATTTAGAGCAGTTGTTTCTATGAAACAAATGAAGGAATTGTTGGTTTCAGAAACTCAGACATCAGTTAAATTTTGAAGTTAGACCAAAAAAGCCTGTAATTATTTATAAACTGAAATAGAATCCTTCTTTTATATAAAATTTTGTCACAAACTATTGGAATGAGCTTACCTAGTATGCATTCTATATAATATAATTATTGAGAAATGGAATCTTAGCACCTGTCTGCCAGTGTTAAATGGCAACTAAGGAGCATTTAATTCATCAAAAATGAACTGAGTTTCTATTAAATTGATAGAGCTGTCAGAGGATGAGGGAATACAAAAGAGATTTCAAAGTTGTCTCTTTTCCAGGAACTTACAATCTGCTGGGAAAGACATAGATACATATGCACATAACTAAACAAAATTAGGTTTAAAATAGAATACGTACAAGTGTTATACAGGTGAGTAAAGTATGGAGCATTTAGTTTTACAATATGTTAAGGATTTAGAAGCAATAATAAACTATGAAGATAAACGGTGATAGTTTAACACTGTCTCTAATTCTCCATTTGGCTCTGGATATTTAAAATAACTTAAGCAGAATTGTTTGTATGCCCGGATGTCAGAATATTGACTGTCTCTTTCCCCTTCCCATTTGTCTTACAATAATTTTTTTTTACCATCAAATCTTTTCTGCCTATGTTTTTGGATTTTTATAGCCCAACAAAAGGGTGTATATTACTCAGCATTCTGTCAGAATCGCCTAATTTAGGATCTTCAAATTTGAGACGTGGATCTTAGCTGAGGGGTTGGAGAGCATTTAAGGTGTTCTTTGCTTTGGATGTCATGACAAATATATGACTTCAGAAAGAATAACAAAAACTTCGATTTCTGCTAAACCTTTCAAAGAAGAGATGCGTTGAATCTATTAAAATCTCAGTTAAAACTCTGACTCTTGTGTATGTTTCAATTGGTTCTTATCCCATTCTCTCTTTGGTTCACACTTCACCAGCCACACTGGCTTTCCTTCTGTCCCTCAAAAAGCTGATTGTTATTTCTTTACTCCTTAGCCTCTTTATCCTGACTGTCTCCAACTCTTCCAGATCTTTGGTCAGTTAGCTACTTCTCATCATTTAGGTTTCAGTCCAAACGTCACCTTTTAGAGAGATCTTGCCTGACCATCTAGCCTTTTGTTCCATTTGTTTTCAGGAACAGGTAAAAGAAAATGTGGTTCAAGTTTATGTTAACAGCAGGAAATATGAGATCCTATAGGAGGAGATCCTGAGGTCAGGTGAGTTTCAGGTGATTGACTTAGTACCCTAACAAGTTCGTTCCTTTTTTAAGTCCAGCTTCCATATCATTATATTCCTCCTACAGCTGGTTCCCCCTTCATGATGGTAAAAATGGTTTCAGGAAAATTCTGGGCCACAAGGTTCCTTGTTAATACCATAAAACTATTAATTTGTTATGGTTCTTCTATAAAAATTTTTTTTTAAACTTTCTCTGATGCCTGCAGTAAACTGGTTTTACATTTTTTGACTGGAACTGAGTCATATGATTATGCTTGAACCAATCATTGATAAAGTAGATGGGAATAATTTATAAATATGAGATATGAGTCATCACCATTTGAACTGAAATCCTTCTCCAAATCATGCATTGCTGTTATTCATCAAGAGATGATGAAGTAAGTGCTGGAGATTCAACCAAAATGTCTACATTTCCCTCAAATATAATCTTATTGTCTTTTTGAGTTTTTACACTCACCACAATTTTAAGTTATATATTTATGTGTGTTGTTATATATATATATATATATATGTAATTGTCTGCCTTGCTATCATAATAAAAACATCATAAGAGGATAATTTTTGTCTTATTTAATGATGCATTTTTACTTAGAATAATAAAATAGTTGGTGCTCAATAAAATTGTTGAATTAGGGGATGAGCAGGAAACATCACATCATCACTTTCTTGGTCTCTAATGGTCTCCTGACTTCATGAGGATGAGAAACTTCATGAGGATGAGAAGTTATTATTAACTGACTTTTCCTTCTTATTTCCTAGAGTCTCTTAAATTCCTAGAAGGCCCCAGTTACTGGTTGAGGGTTCCTAAACAACAGTAGTTTTATCAGTCTTGGACACTTTTGAAGTAGACTTTGAAGGATAAATAAAATGATAAGTAAGTCATTTTTTTAAAAAATAGAAGCACAAGAAAAGATGAAAAGGAAATACAAATTGTAGGAAGACATGTTGAAATTGCATGAGGTGTGCAAAGAAATGAAACTAGTCTGGTTTGACTAAACCTGGGAGCTGTAGAGTGGCTGGGGCAGTAAGGCTGGGAGGGAAGCAGTGAAGCTGACCTACAGATAGTCTTTCTCAGTTATGTCTGTGGTTCTGATTGGCTCTAATTATCTGGTCACTGATTTATTGACCTCAGCACATTTATAATTTGTTTTATATTGTTACCCTAAAAACCTCTTATTTCTTTATACTTGATATCTCAGGTATAGTTTACCTTTTGACTACTTTGTGAACTCATTGATAACACTGAATAGTTTTACTGTGTGTTAGAGTAAAACATAACTGATCTGGATATAAGCTAAGCTTTAAGAAAGGATCTTGAGTGATTTAAAAAAAAAAACAAAAAACACTTATCCTCAGTGCACATGGGAAACACACAGTCATATTGGCAAGATAATATTGAATAAATGAAAGACAGAATGACTCAGAAAACCTGTCTCTTTGTTTTTTGTTTTGTTTTGTTTGTTTCTTGTTGTCGTTGTTTTCTAATCAGGCTTCCCCTTTACTTATGTGATCATAGAAGAGTGTCGCTGAATCCTTTCTAAGTTTGATTTCCTCATTGGTCAAGTGAGGATGATAAAGCTAATGACAATTGTTGAGAAATATAAGTCAAATCAGGAAGACCCTTGGGAAATGAAAATGCTACAGAAATGTATATAATGGGGCTGGACATTATTCTGAAATCAGAATAATAGAAGCAAAGATGAGAAGAGGAAAAGGTTAAGATTGTAAGTTTGGCACCCAAATGGGAAAACCTAACTCACATTTTTTGCCTATCTTGAAGATTTCAAGCTGCACATACACTCTTAAAAAACAAGTTTCACATTTCACTGTAAGAAATGGAGATAATCAGCTGAGTAAACAGTTATAAAGCTCCAAGCCCAAAGACTTCTACAGTTTCAAGATTCTGTGTTAAGTAAATATTTCTGAGTTGGAATGGACCTCTTTGTAAGCAGAGATTATGGAGATTTACAACCTATTTCAGATTCTTGTCTTTCTCTTCCCATCATCACTTGAGAGGGAATAAAGAAATTATCTTACCTTAATATAAGAAAAAAAGTCACTGCATCAGGGCCCAGGAAGCTGTCCACTAATTACTTATGTAACCTTGTATTTACTCATAGATCGGGTTTTTCTTTATAAAATGAAGGAACTATATGAGATAAACCCTGAGAATCTTCTGTTCACTAAAATTTCACAGTTCTTAAGCATCCAGAGGAAATAGTGAATTTGAATCCCAGGTAACTTTCCCTGATCACTCAGCTGAGTCCCTTATATTTGTAGTATTTGGGGGAATATCTGTCAGCTTCCACACACATTTCTACAGAATTTTTTTATTCGGGTTTTGGCTGACTTACCTCAGGGAATAATTTTGCTGGCTAATTTAGGTCATGTCCTGTTATCTATCCGGGTGATAATAATAACAGCTACCACCTATATCACACTACATGCTGGGCATTATTTTAAGAACTTTAATACATTAACTGATTCAATCTTCATAACAGCTTTATGACATAGACATTATTGTGATGCTTATTTTATAGATGTGTGAACTGAAGCAAAGTGTGGTTATGTAATTTGTCTAAGTTACACTACTCTTAAGTGCCAGAGTAGCACTTCAAATCTAGACTGTTTTATAACCCCACATATGTGTGCTAAAGTAATAAACTACACTCAGTATGGAGGGTAGAAGAAAAGATGGCAAAAAGAGGTCTACAACTAGAAGGAACAGAGCCAGGCTCCCAGATCATTATGTCCGGTATACAAGGACAGGTAAGTGATTTAAACACGTGTGGGCAAGTGACCAGAAGTCTGAGTTCTATCCCATAGGCCAGTTTACTCTTGGAACTTTGTCTTTGGGATTGCCTGCCAAAAATGTGACTTTAAATATAAAACCAACAAAATGAAATCATTTCTTGGAGAACGTTTCTGTGGTTCCCTGTGGCTTGCCAAGTTAAGAATATCTGTCTTACGTTTTCAAGCACATGTGTTGTAGTAATTTTATGGGGTAACGAGTTGGCTTCCATTAACGATATTTTATTTTTACAGGGGCTGGGCCTGGAGAAACATTATGTGGCAGGCAGTGAAATATCTTGCTTTTTCAGATTGCTTTAACTAATCATCTCAGGTGGATTTTCTAGGAACTCTGATTTTTAACCATTTGACTGCTATGGATTTCAGTGGGCTGTGACTGAGGCTTTGAATGTAATACCATGGAACATAGTGGTAAGGAATGGAGAAATTCAGGGTTTGGTGGAAATAATAAGAGTAGAGTGGAACAAATGTGGTACTTTCATTTCAAACTGAAAACTTGAATGTAATTTAAGTGCATTCCTTGGATTCAATAGAAAATAATTCAATATGTGACAAGAGCTAACAAATGGAGGCAGATGTAATTTATCAAAGCTAGCATGTCTCTCATTCCAGTATATCACATGGAGGATGCTGCTAGTTATCTACCCAATATCTATCCTCTCCTTCTTTCTTATTGGCAGAGGCCCAATTTTACTACTTAAATATTTTATTCCCCATACTACCTTACAAAAAGAGAGTTGGATCTGTGACACATGTTTGACCAAAGAGATCTATTTGGAAGTTGACTGCGATTTCCTGGAAAGCAGCTTCTTCTCGATCCTCCTAACTGGTGAGTAGGACATCAACAGCTGTCTTATAACTGTGAGTGGGACATCAACAGCTGTCTTATAACTATGAGCAAGAAACATTAGTTATGGTTAGTCACACAGAAAGATGGAGGGATCTAGATTCTGGATTCATTGTGAAGTTGCTGTAGCTACATGTAACTACTCAGGCACAGAATTTTTTGTTTTCTAAAATATGTGTGTGTGTGTGTACATACATATATATATATGTATATATGTATATATATTTGTATGTGTACACAGTTGCCTAATTCTGAGCCTGTTAGAAATACTCTCACTGTGTTTTTTCCTCCTACCTACACTCTTCTCATGGCCTCAACTTAGGAGCTGACAGGCTTCCACCTAGTTGTGCCTGTGCCAAGGGATCAGGAGGGTCATTCCTTCCACTGGAACTGCCATTCTTGATTATGGTGAATCTTTCTTGATGTTATCAGAGAAAGAAAAGGAATGTAACCTGAGATATGATCACTTGCAACAATCTGTTTAATTTCAACATAATAAAGATATTAGGGTAAAAAATAAGAGAGAGAGAGAGAGAGAGAAAAAGAATTCTACTTGAGAGGACAAGAGAACATGAAAGAGCTTGGTGCCTGATCCTTGCCCAATATTAGGGTACAGAAAATACCGTGGATCTTCTGATGGAAAGAAAGCTGTAAAAGGCTGGTGGCAACCTTCAGCATTCTGGAAATGGAATACAGCTCCATTCCCCATTGGGTGAAATGTCTCTGAGGCTAAGTACCAGTAGGCTGTGAGATCTCTGGTCAGTAAATGCTGTTAGGGAATTTTGAAAGAACTTTGAAAGAAGAGTTCAAGAGGTACCAGAGTTGAATGTATGTAATTCACACAGTTCATCTGATGTTACCAAGAAGAGAGAAGCTTGAAGCTGAAGACCTTCATGTTGAGGATGGCATATTAGAAGCTGAAGAACTGCATGTTGAGGGTGGCGTATTAGAAAGGTCTTTGATGGCATTGTTACACTTAAACCA